GACGGCGGTGGCTGTGGTTGGCACGGTGGTGGTGCCTGGTGCGGTGGATGTAGCTGGTGCGACGGCGGTGGCTGTGGTTGGCGCGGCGGTGGTGCCTGGTGCGGTGGATGTAGCTGGTGCGACGGCGGTGGCTGTGGTTGGCACGGTGGTGGTGCCTGGTGCGGTGGATGTAGCTGGTGCGACGGCGGTGGCTGTGGTTGGCGCGGCGGTGGTGCCTGGTGCGGTGGATGTAGCTGGTGCGACGGCGGTGGCTGTGGTTGGCACGGTGGTGGTGCCTGGTGCGGTGGATGTAGCTGGTGCGACGGCGGTGGCTGTGGTTGGCGCGGCGGTGGTGCCTGGTGCGGTGGATGTAGCTGGTGCGACGGCGGTGGCTGTGGTTGGCACGGTGGTGGTGCCTGGTGCGGTGGATGTAGCTGGTGCGACGGCGGTGGCTGTGGTTGGCGCGGCGGTGGTGCCTGGTGCGGTGGATGTAGCTGGTGCGACGGCGGTGGCTGTGGTTGGCACGGTGGTGGTGCCTGGTGCGGTGGATGTAGCTGGTGCGACGGCGGTGGCTGTGGTTGGCGCGGCGGTGGTGCCTGGTGCGGTGGATGTAGCTGGTGCGACGGCGGTGGCTGTGGTTGGCACGGTGGTGGTGCCTGGTGCGGTGGATGTAGCTGGTGCGACGGCGGTGGCTGTGGTTGGCGCGGCGGTGGGGGCCAGACGGACTCACTGCTGCAGCGCTAAGTCCAGGCCCTGAACCCCACAGACAGACACTCCCGCAGGGCAGGGCCCCTCTTACCTTCCTCCTCGCTGCTCGCAGAGCTGGCATCTGTCCTGCTCCCTCCAGATCCCTCTGCTGGCGTCAGGGATGACCCGTCCTTAGGCCTAAACACAATATTTACTGTCATCACTCCCTTCTCCTTCACCCAGGGCCCATCAGTTACAAGAGGAGGGACGGGGCATGTAAACGCCTGGCCCAGGGACTGCACAGGGACGTGAGAACGGCCACACCGGGTCAGACCAACGGTACCTATAGCCCATCCCCCCTCCGTGACTGTCTCCAGAAGCGCTGGTGATTTAGGGTCTCCCTGAACATGGGGTCACCTCCCGGCCCATCCTGGCTAATGGGCATTGATGGACCAACCTCCAGGAATTTGTCTAGCCCTTTTCTGACCCTGTTATACCCTCATCCCCCACTGAGCCCCTGGCAAGGAGATCTACAGATGAATTGTGTGTTGCATGAAAAGTTCCCATAATATAAGGACTAGAGGTCACCAAATGAAATTAATGGGTAGCAGGTTTAAAACTAATAAAAGAAAGTTCTTCTTCACACAGCGTGTAGTCAACCTGTGGAACTCCTTGCCAGAGGAGGCTGTGAAGGCTAGGACTAGAACAGAGTTTAAAGAGAAGTTAGATAAATTCATGGAGGTTAGGTCCACAAAAGTCTATTAGTGAGGGGGTAGGAATGGTGCCCCAGGCCTCTGTTTGTCAGAGGCTGGAGATGGATGGCACCAGACAAATCGCTTGACCATTGTCTTCGGTCCACCCTCTCCAGGGCACTAACACTGGGTGTTCGGCTAATCCTCCGTCCCCCATGAGCATTTCACTCTCCCTGTCCTTGTCCTCCGTGACTCTACTGTCTTGACTCACAGCGAGTGGGGAGACGACTCCCAGCGGCTCAGGGAATTTCTAGCCTGTCTCCCGTCTCCTCCCTTCCCCTCATTCTGCCCCTTTCCCGGTGACTCAAATAACGACAGATCAGCGACACCCGGCAGGTCTGGGGGGGCAGGGAGGGCCGTTTGCTCTTCACACCCCAGCACCCCTCACTACCCACCTGTTCTCCGTTTGCTGCGCGTCCACCTGGGGAAGAGACACAGGAGACGATCAGCTGCCCGTGTGGAAGAGAATCTCAGTCCCGGGGGGGGTTTTACACTCAGCCCCACAAACAGCATTTCCCATTTGATCCTCGACCCTCCCGCACAAGCCACCCACTGTCATGGGACACGGGGCCTCTGGCCACGCAGGCTGGGGGAGGGGCAGAGCCCGGCTCCCCGCTCTGGCCAGCCCCAGACATCGCCCTGTGGGGCAGGGCAGCCTGCCCAGCACCCCCCTCTGGGGCTGAACGGGGCCTGCCCAGCTCCCCACCCCTCACACACAGCTGCTCCGGCAGCCCCGGGTCCCCAACGCTCTGCTCCTTTCCTCAAGTCTCCAATGGCTCACGGGGAGGGGATGGGAAGAGCCGGGGGGGGTGCCTGGGCTGGGCACAGAGTGGGGAGGAGTCCCCTGCGTTTCTGCATAAAGCAGCCCCAGGACCCAGCTCTCCGTGAGCATCCCGTGTGCAGCAACTCTGGCCCCTCCCCATCCCGTCCTGCCCAGTTCGTGAACCAGCCCTGGTCTCACTGCTCAGGCCAGTGTCGTTATAGACAAAATTCCCCCCAGACCCTCCATTTCCAGGGGGGGGTGACCACGGGGCCATTTATCGGTGCCAGGTTCCCTGGCCCAGGCCGGAAGCCCCCGTCTTACAGGGCCCAGGCCTGGAGGGACCTTCCCCTGCAGCTGGTGTAAGAGGCAGAAGAGACCAAAGGCCAAGGGAGCCCTGTGGGCTGCAGTTACAGCAGCACCGCCGAGGAACCACAGACCCCAGAGATGTGACCTCACTACGTCACAATCCCGCAGAGGACTCTTGTACTTCCAAGGGCAGAACGGGGACGTGCCTCTTGTCTAGATGAGAAGTCGATGGAAATTCTATCAATTACTTGACTAGTCAATTAATCGCTAGTTATCATCCCTACTTCATATGGGACCCGGTCCAGCCCCCTCATCATTTATGGTGCCCTTTTGTGGAACTTTTCCAGTGCCAGGAGATCTGTTTAGGGATGAGGTGACCACGTCTGTGCACAGGGCTCAAGCTGTGGGTTATCGTGGGGTTATTTGCTTTGGGGACCGATCCTACTCAACATATTTACACATGGTCTGCCGCGTACACTGGGTGGATGTTCTCAGGGAACGCTCCACAAGGACTCCAAGAGCTCTCCCTAGAGTGGCAACAGCTAATTTGGTCCCCGTCACATTGCGTGTATGGTTGGGATGATGTTTTCCAACGGGCATGACTTTACATTCATCCACATTCAATTTCATTCGCCATTTTGTTGCCCAATCACTCAGTTTGGTGAGATCTTTCTGAAACTCTTCAGAGTCTGCTTTGGTCTGAACTCTCCTGAGCAGTTTGGGATCAGCTGCACATTTTGCCACCTCCCTGCTCACCCCTTTCTCCAGCTCATTTACACATAGGTTGAATAGGATGGGTCCCAGGAAGGACCCTTGGGGGACCCCACGCGTTACCTCTCTCCACTCTGAAGAACTGACAGAGCCCCGTGGAGCAACCTGTGTCCCCACCCCAGGGAGCTGGGCCAGGTTGGAGCCCCCCTCCCCTTGACCCCTCCTGCACCCTCCTTCAGCCCAGACCCACATCC